TTTTAATTTTTTTCAATGCATATATGCGATACATTGAGCTTCTCCGCAATATCTCGTGTTGTGCTGTGACGATTTGAATCGATAATGGCCTTGATATGGGTTTCATCCACTTCGACTGGGCGGCCAGATCGTTGTGAATTTTTCAGTGAAAAATCACCGGAACGAAATCTTTCAAACCAATTTCGACACTGCCTTTCTTTTAAGGCTTCATCTCCATATACGGCACATAACTTCTTTTGTGCTTGCGATGCGGTCTTGCCTTTTAGGAAGTAATACAATAAAATGTGTTGGAAGTGCACGTCCTGTTCTTTCATTTTTAAATTGGGATAAAAACAAAACTAAAGAACTAAACAAAAAAAATTTTTACTAATTAACCTAGAAGCCCATACAGTAAGAAAAAAATATAGGTTAGATGCTCTGGCCACGTTAACAAAACAAAAGAAAGTAAAGAGTGAATCCGTCAACAAAAACGGCAATGACTTAGTTGCCAACCCAATAGTTTTACTTCAAAGTGTTGACAACAACAAACGTCGAAAATAGAACAATTTTCCACACCCGGTTCCAGCTAATCTTAATGGACAATATTCCACCTCATCCCACCAAATGCGCGGAGGAAGTTTCCGAAGAATAAGACCTGACTTAATGGATGGATGAAATGGAAGTTTAATTTGGAGGCTATTGACTTTCCCACTGAAGATCCACTAGTAACTTGCTCTCTCACAAGAAATGCTGAGAACCCAGACACAAAGAGACCGAGTACGACATAGCTCCTCGCAGCCAGTAGACAGACCATGAATCTCATCAAAATAGTCACACTCAAGAATGCTAGGGGGGGGGGTTCTGTTATTAATAAGAAAGTGCAAATAAAAGAGTTCAATAACACCAACAGGGATGTGGGATAGACCTACCTCCACGTGGTGCACCCTGGGCAACATATACTCATATGGCAAAAAACCGGCAGTTGACTTTTGACTACAGACTACCATTACCCCATTGTAGGTCATATTCGACCACTTCCACAGTACTCATCTTGCCTTTTCTCTGCGAATTACTCCTTTCCCCTCCCCTGTCTCCACTATTTCCTCACGTTGATGTTCCTCCTCCCCTCTGTGTGGCTTGAAGTCAGCTGAAGGGCTAATGATAATTGTCAAAACGCCTGCTATTTGAAATAAATAAATAAATAATTCCCACAAAGTACCATCCTGGTCGTGAATTCATTGCCTGTTTTCTACTTTAATCACTCCAACTTTTTTCTAACTAATTAAACTAGTTTGGACCATTCCCATTATATTCAAACATGATACTCCCCCCCCCTCAAATAAAACATGATTGATTAGAACGAAGGGAAAAGAGAAGGGAATAATAATAAAAAAACATCATGCTCGAGAAGATGGAACAGTTTGTGAGGAGTAGGAATGCCTCAAGAGAGAAAAATTACGGCACACGTGACTCGTCGTAATAAGCTGGTCTAGACAAGACGACGACGACAGTAGACAGTAGACAGGGAAGAATAGAGCCATCTCACAGGGAGAAGCCAATAAGTAATTAAACAAGTACTAAAACCTCGTTCAGATGCCTGTATGCGCTGCCTACGCACAAAAAGGAATCGACGCATTGGTCACTTGGTACACGAGAGAGAGAAGAACCTAGCGAGTGTGCGGGGGTTGATAAGGTGATTTGCCAGTAAAAATTTAAAAATGGCCAATCATTTCTGCGTTTCTGTGGCAACTTCCAATGAAGCCTCCAACCACAGCCAAATAAAGCCTCTAATCTCTCAAGTTCTGGAATAAGAAGTTGGGGACTTAAGTGTGTGTGGCGGTACCTGAAATGGAGAGTGAGGGAGTTAGACGATCACAAGCTAAATTAAATTATTCACAACTGGAAACTTTCCGAATTTCATGTATACAAATGGCGGATACTATGGCTACGAGTAAGCCATGGCATTCTTGTTTTGCTTCCCCAAAGCAGTTTATACCCCCTCCCCCCCCACACACCCACACACGCAAACAAATCCCCAAGGATAAGAGATCAGGAGAAGTGGGCCAAAAACCTAGATATTTCCACTCAAAGACCCCGCTAATTCCTCCTCCTCCTCCTCCTCCTCTATGATCCGAAATATGAAAACAACAACAACAACAAGTAAGAAACTCTCCTACTAAAAATGAATTAACCAGATGATCGCGGTTGTGGACAAAAGCCTAGGTGCGCGTCAAGTGTGCCAATGTCTCAGTAGAGCAAAAGCTCACACAATCAGCGAAAGTGAACGAGTTGCCTGGAGCTTCAACTAACCTGGAAGACCTGCATGGTGTTGGTGTTTCCAGCACCAGCAATAGACCCGGTGATGATGATAACATCGTCAAGCGGACGAACGATACCAAAGTTACGAGCTGCTGCCACTGCGGCGTTGATACGCATGTCCATATCCTCCGACCAACTCTCCAGTCTTTCACCTACAGAAGACGCGTTAAATGCAAAATTAAATATGAAGAAACAATGAGTACCAGTCAACGCGGCATTGAAAACAAATATTCTTAACTGGTGCAGTTCAAAGAGAAAATACGTTTTATTTATTCGGTGGAGGTGCGCAATAGACTTACCTCCATGTGGTGCACCCTGGGCAAACGTATACTCATATAAATCGTACAGTTGCCTTCTCACTTCAAGCTACCATGAGACCCCACTGTGTATGTCATTTCCACCAAATCCATAGTACCCACCTAACCCTTTCCTCTCTACCTTTGTGTCTGTCTGTCTGTCTGCCTCTTCTACATCTGTGAATCGACCTTTTGTGACTTTGATGTCCCCCCCCCCTCCCTCCCCTCTGTGAAGCCCGAAGTCAACTAAAGGGCCAATGCTAACAACTATCGCAGAGCCTACCATTTAAATAAAAATATTCATTCGGAATGAAGTGACTTGCATTACGACAAACCGACGGCAGTTCCAGGCAATGGGTAACCAAGTTGTGTATTACTCATTTGGAAAAGAAAACTATCCAATATGATGTTAGTGATGTTAATGATGACAAATTGACAGTCCTGGGTACAATTAACTGCAGATGTAGCGTCCATTTGGTGATTAAGTTTGCCAAGTTTGTATCATTCTGCAGGACTGCCCGCATAGCCCGTTCTGTGCCTAGGCAACGTTTATAGGTCTCAAAGTGAGAAGTGGCATCATGAAGCCTTCTTGATGAGAGACTCGAATCCTCCAGCTCACTTAGCCCGTACCAAAGAACATCAAACCCGTGGTCTCGGATTTCACGGATATCTCGAGTACACATCCAAAATCACGGAGCCGGCACTCTCGCAATAAATAATCTCTCATGCCTCAAAGTAAACGAGAGCATTAAACGAAATAGCATCGACCATTAACAATTAGCGCTTTAGAAATAAAAGTACCCCCAGATATGCGACTAACATAAAGTTCACGTGATAACTGGCTGACTGGCTGGCGACGAAATAATTGAGGACAATAAAATGTCAAATATTAGGTGGAGGTGTGTTTGTAGTTCAAAAGAGATACTGAGAACAAAGAGTCGTGGTGGCACTAATGTAACTCAATTAAGGATTTTTTTTTATTAAAAAAACGGGAATATCGATTTTCATTGATAATTACAAAATTTATTCATTTCCAGAATATCATCGCTAAAAGTGCCAAAATGCTTCGTGGTATGGGTCCTTGTAGCGTTGAAGGACACCCACACACACACGCACATATTAGAAACCCGATGATGCCTATTCAACATTCGAATAACAAATCGGATTTGTTAAGCTTGGGGTAGTTATGAGGGCTGGCGAGGTTCAGAGACCCAGAGAAAACATATCTAGATCAAATTTCAGTGTGTGTGTGTGTGTGTGTGTGTGTGT